GGAGGAGGTCGTGCGAGGAGGAAATGAGAGCTTCTGGGCTGTCGTGGGACCAGATTCAAAAGATCTCAGAGAACAGAGTGTACTGGAGGCGTGCTACTGAAGCCCTATGTTCCACTAGGAACCCAAGGGACTAATAATAATAATAATAATCATCCTCATCAACATCCCAGCCATCATCCCATTGTGAACATCATCATCCACTTCATCATCTTCATGTTACACATCATCGTCATCCTCATTAATTTCCTTATAATCGTCTTCATCCAAATCATCATCATCATCATAATCATCATCTTTATCTTCATCCTCAACATACTCATCACGGTCATCCACATCTATTTCCTCAGCATCCTAATTGTCCTCTTTGTCACTTTCGTCATCAAGATCATCATCATCCTCGTCATCATCATGACATCCTAATTTTCATCGTTATCCTCATCATAATCTTTAATGATGATCGTCGTCCTCAACATCAAAATCTTAAACGTATCCATCATCATCAGCATTCTCATACTCAGGTCATCCTGATAATTATCACCATCGTCTTTATCATCATTATCCACATCATAATCATTATCGTCTTCGTCAGGCACTTCAGCATCGACAGCCTCTTTATCATGATCATCCTCGAAATCATGAACAACCTGCTCGTCATTATAATCCTCTTCATTATCATCATCTTCATCATCATCATCATCATCACCATCATCATCCTAGTCGTAATCATCTTCATGATCATTAGGATCCTCATCAAATTCATCATCCTCAAAATCGTCATCATCCTGCTCGTAACTAATATCCTCCTCCTCCTCCTCCTAAGCACTATGATCAGCATCACCATTGCAAAAATTATCCTCTTCATGAAGATTATCCTCGTCCTCTTCATAATCAGTATGATCATCGTCATCATCAGCATTTTCTTCATAATTATCTTCTTGCTTGTAATTATTATCCTCCTCCTGCTCCACATTCTCATCTTCATCATCATCATCTCCAGCATCGTCATCATCAACGTCTTCCTCCTCATCATCATCATCAGCAGCAGCATTCTCTTCATAATCATTTTGCTTATAATCGTCATAATCATGCTGGTTATTATTATCTTCCACCTCCCCCACATCATTATCATCATCATCGCAATCATATTCATTCCCACCGTCATCATCGCAGTTATCACCATCATGAATGCCATCATTATCGTGATCATCCCCATTATCCATGTCACCATCATAATCATCCGCATCATCTTCACCATGAACATCCTCATCTTGCTCATCATCTTCATAGTCATCATCCTCAATATAATCATTATTATTATTATCATCACGATCATCATCATCATCGTCATGATCATCATTATCATCTCCATCGCCCTCATCATTTTGATCATCATCATGATCATGATGCTTATTGTAATCAGCTTCATCATCATCATCATCCTCATGATCACCTTTAGCAACTTCATCATCTTCGTCGTCTTGTTTATCATCATCCTTATCATCCTTGCCGTCCTCCTGGTCCTCTTTATCCTGATCATCCTCATGCTACTCATAATCCCCAGCATCCTCATAATGATCATCATCATCATCATCACAGACATGGTGTTCATCATCTTCATCCTCATTTTCCTCTTAGTGATCTTCATCCTAATTATTTTCATGCGCATCATCTTTAGTATCATCATTTTATTGGCAGTATTTTCGAAATTTTGCATCAACACCAATAACTCCCTCACACCTCGACGGCTTTTAATTTCGAACTTTACACACTTCATTTGGACTGCGCTCAATAAATTCGCAAGCAAAAATAATCAAAACGAAATGGCGTGTATCACTATCCTTCTTAATTCTTAGTGTGTGATTCTGTTGAACAGCACACAAATGACTGTCAAGTAGTATTCAACTGGGTTGGGTCCTATCAACCTTAGTTTTCGATAAACAGTGTTATGTGAAGAACATTCTGCTAGTTGAATCTTTCTCAGGTAGTGCAATTATTTTATTATTTATTATTATTTTACCCTTGGGTTCCTAGTGGAACATAGGGCTTCAGTAGCACGCCTCCATAGCACTCTGTTCTCTGCAGTCTTTTCAACCTGGCGCCACGACTACCCACAAGCTTTCATTTCTTCTTCACACGATCTCCTCCATGTCACCCTCGTCTGGGACCCCCGACTCGTCGTTCCCCCTTTGAATTCCACTCGATGGCCTGGCGTGTGATGTCAGCCTTCTCAGTGTATGCCCAATCCATCTCCACTTCCTTCTGCATATTTGTTGGGTGATAGGTTCTTGGTTTATTCGTTCCCAAAGTTTCTTGTTGCTTATTCTTATTATTCTGGCCATCTAATCTTCAGTATTGAGCCAGCGTAGGCAGCAGCTGTTGATGAATGTCTGTAGTTTGTTGGAAATACTTTTCTTGACGCACCAAGTTTCTGAACCATATAGAAGCACTGACTTGACTGACATTGGTGTTGGAAATTCGGATCTTGTTCTTTGTGCTGAGTGGAGTGCAGTAGATCTCCACACTGATTTCAGACTAGTGAAAGCCTGTCTTACCGATCCTGGTTTTGAAATCCTCGTCTGTGCCACCTGTAGTTGAAACAATGCTGTCTAGGTAGGTAAGTAGATTAAAAAGATTACATCCTTTAGGTTTCTCCCGTTAGTGTTGGTTGGTGCTTGTTGTTGTAGGTTGGGGTAGTGCAATTAGTAATCATTTATTTGCCTTGTGTTTCTAATTCAGCACCATTTAGATTATGATGAGAACTGAATGCATGGCAGGTTTAAGAAAGAACGGAAATATATGTACTTTTATTTCATGTAACTATCTAAGAAAACACCATATGACTACGGTGAAAAATGAGACGTGTTAAGCTGCTTCATTTCATAGATAAGATGATGGTTTAACGTATTACATACCCACATACAACCGGTTCCATCCCGCTATAACCCGCTTCAACTTCTCTCTGAATTGTTTATGCAAAGACTAATTTGTCAACCTTGGCTATCCTAGATAGGTGGGTAATAAATTTCCTATCATCAACATCATCATCATATTGGCAGTATTTCCGAAATTTTCGCATCAACACCAACAACTCCCTCACACCTCGACGGCTTTTAATTTCGAACTTTACACACTTCTATCTTTTGCACTACTTTCAAATAGACCGTTGGTATATTCAGTCTGTAGTGATGTGAGCGGAAAGTGATGTTATTTGTTTTCATATCTTTTGTACATCATTTTGTTTTTGGCTGAAGATACTCACGAAATACACTGAACTCATCATGCTCATCATAACTTGTTCTTATTGCTTTACTTTGTTTAAATTCAGAAAGCACACAAAATTATGTATTTGGTTGCAAACAGGAGTAGACTCTGACTATTCAAGTCCGTTTGATAAATCAATTAGTGTATGATGATTACACTTGTGTTGTGATATTGACTCTAGAACTTACAGACATAATAGCGTAGAGCTATAATGAAGCAATAACGGAAAGGTGATATTTCTTTTCTCAATCATTGCAAACTTCATTTTATTTCCCAGATCGTAAGTAATGTCTTGATCAGTACCCAGAGTATAATGTCTAGTGTAGCACATAGAAACAAACAGTGCTCATTGTGTAAATATTCACTACAAATATAAGTAGCGTTACCCGGCTCATTTCACAATCCATCAACCTATCATAGAAATAACCAGTTAGATGCAGATTATCTCAACTCCTCGAGCTGAACTTCTCCGAGTACACCACCGATGACCTCCGCTTCAAATGAGCGAAACGGCCATCTGGTGCTTGGATCACTCCTATCTGGCTGAGTGGCAACATCTACAGATCAGTCTGAGTAGTTTCTGACTACTCGAGTTGTTCGGTAAAAGTATGTCTCACTAGTTCATGACACTTTTGTGTCAGAGATCACACCTCGTGTTTTTGGCTGTCATGTGCTTTCCAACGGAACCTCTGTTGATAGCACAGTTAGGCAGTTGAAAAACTACTCAGCTGTGAGGAATATCAACCTGAACCGTGCAATTTGTAAATCACTTACAAATTGATCATCTTATTCAAGACCACTCCTACCCTACTGATAACAATGTTTCCTTCTTAGTTATGAAGATATTTGCTTGGAATTATCTCACAACAGCGATTTAAATCAATTCATCTCATTTGATTCATTTATTCAGAAAACGCATTACACATTGACGCCAGAAATATGTCTGATGAAATGTAGTCTTCATTAGAGCAATATGCAGTTAGATTCTTGATAAAATGCATTTCACTAAGTTTATCTACTCATTCATCAGTGAGCGAGCACTATTTGTATGAATATCATAAAAATATAGTTTGTATTTGTGTAAATGTATCCGAAGACGTGAACATAATCTCCATGTCCAGTCGTCTTCGTACAGACTGTACGAAGAAATTATTTCATTTCCAACACGCTATAATTTACACAAATGAAAACTATATCTAACGTCACCCTTTTACTCTGCTCCCAATATTTACAATACTCTGAGGTGAAATCTTGATATTATTCATGGAAATCATAAAAAGATTCATTTAGGAAAAAGCTTTATTATAATCAAGTTGCATCCACGCGATACTAGTGGTAAAAGATAAATTTGGCGCCTACGTAGAAACAAATAAGTTTTTGATTTGGTTTCTCTAACAACTTCAAAATTATTCAACAATCACTTAACTACCATTAGTTCCTCCTACATTCTTCACGCACACAATTACTTGTAAGGCAATGTTTACATTTAGCCATTCATCTACGTTATATGAAATTGCTAAGTTCAGTGTTTCAAACACCTCACTTGCATCTTTCCAAATGATGTTCATATGTAGCAGGTAATTTGAAGCTTTTATTGCAATAATTTTCACTGAATTCTTCCGTCAAATTAATCTTCTAAGTGTACAGAGTAAGTGGAGTTCAATTTACCTTCCCGATGAACGTGATTTTGCTTAGTATGCGTTCTCATATGTCTTGTTAGCTTTGACGATTGAGCACATGCATATGAACACAAATTACAATGATATGGCTTTTCGCCTGTATGAGTACGTCGATGTACAGTGAGATTACTACAATTTCGAAATATTTTACCACAATATTCGCACATATCATGTCTTCCATAAAACACTTTTCTTCTGTTAGTTTCATCCTTAATTAATTTACTTGTCTTGCTAACGAAAGCAACTGGATTGAAAGGATACTGAGTGAAATGCAAATCTTCTACACTTCCATTTTTTGAGTCATGATTCAACCGTTTTTCCATTGTAAACTGTTTCGCTTCAATCATATGCTCATCAGTCTGTGTGTTTAATTCCACACCTTGAAGGTCATAATAAATTCGAGGTGTAAATTGATCGAGATCTACTTGATGCACTTGCTTTAAATGATTCGATAGTTCATATGCAGATTTGTGGGTAGTTTGACAAAATATACATGGAAGTATTACAGGGTTGTTTTGAGTAGATTCACCTGAGGAAGACGAAGAAAGGATGGCGAAAAACACTTTAATAAATTGATGGACAATTTCAAGACATATGACTGAAATGAGTGACAATATAACAGCTTTTAACTGGGAAGCAAAGACCTTTGAAAAGTTCCTCAGTCAACAGCTGTGCCTGTATCCCGTAAATCAGAGGGGTGACTGATGTGTACGGAACAGTAGACCGAAGTGAGGCCAGACTCATTTGACTTAGGCAAGCAAATTGGCTATATCTGTCGTCTGAATGGAGATCGAAACCCAAATTCTACAAGGATTCGTATTTCCAATCTAAATAGAATAGCTGGTGTATAATTTACACCTGTCAAATCAGAGTCAACAAAGTGAGCGAATCTTCCCACCTAAAAATGAAGTCCAACTGGAAGGTATAACAACTTGTTCTTAGTATCATAACCTCCTTTACAGGTAGATAATTCGACTATTGATACTGTCCTAGTATTCTTCCCTTCTTCATTACACTTGTCGATTTTCATCCCGGTCTGTTGGTCTGAATAGGTGCGAGCAACTTGCACCGAAATATAGTCATGCCAAGTTCAAAGTTGTCAATATCTACCTACCAATTTTCCTACATTCATGCTACGCAATATACAACAATGATGCCTTGCTTAGAAAGAAAACCTAGCTGAGTTGAAGGAGTAGTCTCTGGATTACCAGCCATGCCATTCTACTGACATAGGTACCAGATTCAACGCTGGATCAGATCTCCACCTTACTTCAATTGCTGAGTACTTTCTTCCACTTGCCATGTGAATTGAATGAACAACCTCTTATTGACTACCAATCTGTCTACCAACAAATATGCACAGTTATACAGATTTCTCGCGTTTTGTAAAAAATCTAAATTTTGTTTTTGTGATTTTCATTGAAACCCACCTTGTTTTCATAATTATACTGGTGAAGTGATCGAAAATGAAGGAAAAGAGAAGTCACCGTTGAATTATAAACTGAAGGTCTTCAATCACTGTTGTTCCGGTGTTGGCAAGAATCAGTTTCATCAAACAAGGCAGTTTCATCAGATAGGCTAATTTAAAAATTGCCATCTCATCTGGTAACTTAATTCTTGGCGTATAAAACAAGTTTGTACTCAATTATAATCTACGTTCACTGTCTGTGCAACCTTAGCTTTGTGTACTTAAACCCTTGTATTTTATTAAAAGTGAGTAGAGATAAATGCAACTTTTTCAAATGAAACGGTGAATTTCACTGCTTGAAATGATACCAGTCAATCTTTTATTTCCATCTTATCACTTCAAAGTCTAAGAACACGCTGCTCACTTACACGCATGCATGCTTCATAAGTCTGTCAGTAGATCCTCCGAATATTCACAGGATTTCCATTCCACTGATTACAACCCATTTCTTCCCGACTATCTACGAATCAATAAAATCCCTGCGAACCGCCAATTCAATTACAAGGATATATATATATATATATATATATATATATATATATATATATATATACATATATATATACTATATATATATATATATATATATATATATATATATATATATCATGGATCATGATCCGTTGAAAAACTATTGGAAACCTGGAAGGACTGGATATCTGTTTCGTCCTAACTAGGGACTTCTCATAATAGTCAAATGGAGCTCAGTGCCATCATGTTTGGTGATAAACGTGTTAGCGTTCAGTAGCTGAGACAGAGAAAAAGAACTCATATGTTGGTAGACTTGAAAACTTGGTACCTGATCGGATGGATATATACTAGCATGGAGTTGAAAACCAGGACGAAACGGTCGTTCACAAATTCAATCAAGTATTCCATTAGTTTTCTAGCTGATGTCAGTTAGTATTTAAAATTGCCCCATCATCCTTATACGACAGTCGTCTGCTCAATCGGTTGGGCTTAAAACACAATCCACACTCAACTAGCCTTTCTTTCACCTTCAGAATTCGCATCCATTCCATACTATTTCCATCTGATGTTTATCACTGTCCACTTCTAATTTGAAGTATGGCCTTTTGTATAACATAATCCATGGATTTAAAACTGTTAACTAGACCTGACGGAGAAGTTGATGAAAACAACTTTCCGTCCATTAAATATTCCTCATTCCAAGTATTCATTTAATCGGAACGTATTTAAATCAAATAATGGTTATAATAATGTTCCAATGGAATGACAGTTGCTTCAACTTGTAGTCATAAAACTAAAATCATTTTAGCTTGTTTACACATGAATACAAGTTAATCAGTAATATTTGATCGCTCACTACACCGCCCTGCTCTGAGTACACTTTCTCTATGCTTGTAATTTGACATCAATTATTTAAAAAGGTTGTAAGGATGCATGGATTTTATCGCTGGTGTTCGCAGTTATTTCGTGTGTTTTTTGCGTCCACACAATACTCTGATTATTGTGTGTTGCATAGACCCCCTGTCAATTGAATTCTAATGACACTGGCTACTCTGTTTACCTAGCGGTTGAACCAAATATCCACAAAATTTTTATTGAAGCTATTAGAATGCAGCAGTTGTTCCCCACCCTTTGTCTGTGTCTGCCCATCTACATGCATTTGTCTTCTACAATCATGAGCACATACATACAATTATCTCATTGAATAAGTTGGTCTTACTATGATAAACAATAAAATCGGAAGCCACATTGTGTTAGGATGGGGAATGACGAGATGACAGCTTTACAATATATTCCACCTATTTTTCAACAAAAGTTAACCATCGTGTTGAGTTGCTTTGTTGGCGTTGGTCAAAGTCTCCTGTTGAGGCAAGGAAAAACCTAATTTTTACAATCCTACCTAGATTTGATTTTTCACCCGTTTACATCGATAGCTTTCTTTGTGTTGTATAGGGTTTTATGTCCATCCTTTAGACAGGTCATTCAATCTATGTATTTTTGGAGTTGAATAATGTCAGGACAAAAAAACCAGTGATATACAGCATACATTTTATCGAAAACTTCCATAACTCTCCTCTATATCTGAACGTATATGTTGATATTTTATGTAAAAAGAAAGTGGCGTCAAAACGGTCATGATTTGGTTAAAACAAATGGATATCTTTTGAATATTCGCTAAAAGTTAACACAGACTGATAGATAACAGCAAAATGCGGCGTAAAATAAACGCAGTTAATATGCACACAAAAATAATAATAATGGATTACATAAATTTAAATCCGCTTGTATTTTCTGTTGTATACAGCGGAAAATTTAAACCTCGCTAGTAAGTTTGATACCGCATGGAACGAACGTCAATTATCATATGCATAGGGTGTTAATAATACCTACAATATACTATCAAAATTACTGGTGTCATAGGATGACAATACTTTGATGCATTCAAGTCTAAACGAATTGGCCGTACAGCACACGTTACATTCTTTGGTCTAAGAACATATCTAGGTCACTAGGCTGAGGTGTAACATTTTAGCATATCGTGTTCCATGTTGTATCTTTGAAGATAACTAAGCCTTGAATGTGTGTACACCTCGTTCTTGTAGTCACTTGTCATCAAGATGTACCTACAGCATAAATAGCTTCTACAGTCTTCTCCTTTCACAGCTGACTGATTCACTTCTATACATCAGATTTCTCGCTAACGGTCAACTCCATAAATTTGGAGGTCTTCAGAACCAGCTGATTATTAACACCCTATTTCTGCCTGGAATATAGTAAGACACTACTTGACAAAACTGTAGTTGCGTCCAATTCCGCAAGTGATGAATCGAAAAAGTAGGGGATCGGACTATGATATTTTGGGGGTAAATACTCTTCAAAATGAAAATTGACTGATATTGAAGTGAAATACAGTAAAAACTCAGAAAACTGGACGTAGAGTCAGGGTTTACTAAAAGTTGGATCTATGAATAATGATTAGGAGGCAGGAATTATGACTTAGGGATTTAGGCTGAAAATCAATGTATGGAAATTAAGGTTTTGAAGTGGATGTCTGGAAGTTGGCGTCAACAAAACAAACTTCTAAAGGAATTAAGTGACTTACTCGGAAATCTCTGACCACACTGGATTGAGAGGTAGCGGTTATTTGGAAAGGCTAGGCATAATATTTACGGTTTCAATTAAGCAAAGAATAAGGGGAACCCCCACTTTCTAAAAGATGAGAAAGATAAATTTGCAAAGTTGCCAAAAGGATTCAAATAACTTGACATTTTCCCTTATTATCATATGATGTTTTCTTAGATACAACGGTACCAACTCTTTGTTTAGCTAAAAAGCCATCTTAGAGGTTAAACATTATTCCAGGTAATGCTTAAAGACGATGACGAGGAGATCCAGTTTTATTCGGCATTTTTTCTTAAGTTTAGTCTGAAAACATCCACCTATACCTGCTTTTAATGCATTTGAAAAGCAAACAATTTTTCCAAAGTGTCAGTAAGAAATACTACTGGAGTGTTGTTTGCAATCCTAATGCCTTGATGACTAACAGTTATTGAGGTCACATCACCGGCTAACAACTACACTTCAATAAGCGTATTCAAACTTTAGGCGTAATCAAATCATATAAGGGCCTTTATGATATGACTGCTCAAATAAATCAGCTGAGGTCTGATAGGAATCCCACTTATGATGAATTAGTTGCCACATGGATGTTGGTTGTCATTATAGATATTATTAGTTTAAAAACATAAGCGTGATTCTTTCGGTCATTCAACTGAACATTACACAATACCCAAAACGCTCACACTCTTTTTTAAGAATGTCAAGCCAATAACTCGGATACTGCTCGTCTCTCGCTGCACAGTAGTTTTCCCATACAACATGGATGAACTTCAGCTGCTTCTTCTACCCACATTACGACTGTTGACATTAGTAACTGTCGTCGATTACTTTTCAACTTATCTAGTTTCGCTTCAACTAGGATGAAGTCCACGTCCCAGATTCCACTGATAACCACTGCATACACTCTATACGCCTACTGGATTGTGACAGACTTAACAAATTTCTAGCTAGATATACCTGTTTCAATGTCTGTTTATCGCACCAACTAGATACCTGTTGACACTTGAATAAACAAAACATTACTTATACTATCTGGAGGTTTGTGAAGATTCATCAATTGATTTTAGGCTGTAATTCGACGGAACAGGAAGGTTCTGCTTTCGACCCCTGGCGAGGTCACGGGTGAGCACTGCTGAGGAGCCCCATACCAGGACGCAATAACTGTCTAGTGCTCCCGGGTTTCCAA